TGCAAGACTGCTTCCTGGTCTGGTTTGCCGTGACATCATTCACAGTGAATGCGGGTAAGGTTCCTTCAGAGGAGGCCTGTTTCTTTTGCTACAAGACGACCCAACACTCCAAGTGGGAGATCAACCACACAGATGGCTAAGCCTGCGCAGGTATCCATTTCAGATTGAGGAATGCCTTCTGGCAGATTGAAAAACCATGTACGCAGGGCATATACTCCAGAAAGAGAATGCAGACCAGGGAACTTGTGCTCTCATCCATCTGCAGAGCGGCCTGCGCATGTATGCCCATTGTCTGTCACTGCATATCTGATGACTAGTGCCGTGGGGCTCAAACTAGAAGCCGTAACTACATCTCCTTGGCATGCTGTACCATCAGCTTAGGTAGAGGCATGAACTTCAAGCACTTCAGGAAAGCTCAGGGGCCACCTCTAGGCAGGGCAGATCCACCCTAGCCAAGGAGTCAAGGACCCATGGGGAACAATCCACCTTTCACCTTAAGCCACCAGCAGCCTATTGTGGACCTTCAGTTACTAAGGGAAACCCATCCACTCCTCTTGGCACTTCCTGGACTCCCCCCCCCCCCCCGGCAGGGAGAGGCAGAGCTGTCTCCCAATCTGCACGACAGGTACAGGGCAGCAGCACAAGCTGGCAAAAGCCGACGATCCCTCCAGCTCCTGCTTTGTCGAATAGGCTGGTTACTGGTTCTGATCCCAAAGGAAGGGGTTGTTTTCCCTACCACAACTTGGCTGGATAATAGACAGCTGTGCTGACCTCAGCAGCGCCAGCTCCCTTTGTTTCAATTTTTCTTTTTCTGGGATCAAGGAAGCAATAAAACCTTGGTTTTACCACCCACCGAAGAGACCAGACGGCATTGCTTTAATCCAACTTTCCCACAACTGTGGTCATGCACGGCCTTGTCTTCCCTATGGGATTCACAAACTGAGACCAATGGGCTGTTCTCTTCACCAGCTTTGTTACCGTGGCTGGACCACACCCATCTGCATGAGTTTCTAAGCCCCTGACGAATCCATTTATCAGATGGGCAGGATTTCGCTGCTGCATGCTAAAAGCCACCTCTGCTACTTTTCCACCTGGCCTTTGCTTATATCAAAGCTTTTGAGCAGAAACCACAACTATCCTTTCCTCTTGCTCTCCTGAAAGGAGAAGCAGGTACCAACTATCTGCTGATGAACTGGGAACATGAGGCTGCCTGACAAGTGACAGAGAATGAGGCCATTTCCGAGGTTCCTTCCTGATGTGGGAGTACCTGAACCTTGGAGGCAACCTCTTTGGCAAATTCTGGCTGTGCAAATATTCGAACTGCAGATTCATGACTTGCAGTGTACTAACTCAAACTATGTTTCAACATTCTCTCAGGACAGGGAAAGCCATTCTGCCCTTATTCCAGGGAGCTCAGGGAGACATATACAGACACCCCCCCCCCTAATGCTAATTTTATCCTCACAACTACAATGCGAGGTAGGGTGCTCTCTTTCTTGGCCTAACTGGCCCAGCTTCCAGACAGAATTCTAGACTGTGTGACGTCTACTGCAGTTGCAATAAATAATACTACAATAAACTGGTTCCTCTGCAACACTCTTGTTATTTCAGATTGGCCTAAGATCACTCAGAGACCATCATGATCAGATGGGAGGCTGAACCCAGTCCTCCCCAGTCCTAGTTGGACACTCTAATCATTACCCCAACACCGGCTCTTAGTCATAATCAAAGAGTGCATTGGGAGCACTCAGTAAAGTGTTCAATGAAGCCAAGGTCTTTGGAGGAAACCAGGCTGTGCAAAGCCCTAACCCAAATGTAGATTGGAGAAAACACCAATTACTGGAGGAGCCTTTTCTCTTTCAACCAGACCTGGGATCTTGGCCAGTCTTGCATTCTGCTTCTTAGGATTCAGCCAGGCCACTGGGTTCTCACTTGAATCCGGTATTTGGAGTTTTAAGAAGGCTAGGAGAATAGTCAGAGGATGACTTCGAGGAAAGTGGAAAAGGACTGTTCAAATGAGACTGTCCCATTTGAAGGGAGACAATCCTCTCCTCTGCGATTTTTAACTGGACCATGTCAAGACACTTCGGCTATGTCCCAAATGGCAACACTGTTTACAGGACCCAGCTGCTGCTGACAAGTGTGTGCAAGCACCCCAGGCCAGATTCACTCCAGCATGGGACATTTGCCATGACATATATATGTGATTGTTTCCTGGGTGCCCAAGACCCCAATCTGGAGTCTTATTTCAGCATTCCACTGCTAAAGCCTCTAAATGAGGGTGGAACACGGTAACCAGCAAACACACACATACTAATATGAACCCCTTTGCAAAAACGTGGTTTGAATATGGTCCAAATGTTTGCTTTGTCCCCCCCCCCCCCCCCCCCGGGTACATACACATGAGTTTGCCCCACCAGAAGAGCAGGGGACCGCACACCAAAACCGCCACCTCCAATTTGTTCCTGTATTGATGATCCCCCAAAACAAAACACTCAGAACATGAGCTTGTTGGAAAGCTGTGTGCATAGGAATGCTGGTACTGAGCTTGCTTCAGTGGGGCCAGTGGGTTTTCTCATGGGGGGGCTTCTGAACAAGTTTCCTGCTGCTGATGCCTCAAGGATCTGTCTTGGGACCTGTTTTGTTCAACATCTTTATCAATGATTTGGATGAAGGGATAGAGGGAATGCGTATTAAATTCGCAGATGATACTAAATTGGAAGGGGTAGCAAATATGGTAGAAGACAGAGTCAGGATAAAGGATGATCTTGACAGGCTGGAAAACTGGGCTAAAAGAAATTTAATGAATTTCAATGGGGATAAATGTAAAGTTCAACATTTAGGTAGGAAAAATCAAATGCATAATTATAGGATGGGGGAGACTTGTCTTGGCAGTAGTATGTGCAAAAAGGATCTAGGGGTCTTAGTAGACCATACACTGAACATGAGTCAGCAGTGTGATGTGGTTGCTAAAAGGCAAATGTGATTTTGGGCTGTATCAACAAAAGTATAGTGTCCAGATCATGAGATGTGATAGTACCACTTTACTCTGCTCTGGTTAGACCTCACCTAGAGTACTGCATTCAGTTTTGGGCACCACAATTTAAGAAGGATATAGACAAGCTGGAACATGTCCAAAGGAGAGCAACGACGATGGTGAGGGGTCTGGAGAAAAGGTTGAAAGAGCTGGGTATGTTTAGCCTGGAGAGGAGATGACAGAGAGGTGATATGACAACCATCTTCAAGTACTTGAAGGGCTGTCATACAGAGGATGGTGTGGAGTTGTTTTCTGTTGCCCCAGAAGGTCGGACCAGAACCAATGGGGTGAAATTAAATCAGAAGAGTTTTTGGCTAAACATTAGGAAGAACTTCCTGACAGTTAGAGTGGTTCCTCAGTGGAACAGGCTTACTTGGGAATTAGTGGGCTCTCCTTCTTTGGAGGTTTTCAAACAGAGGCTAGATGGCCATCTGACAGCAAAGTGGATTTTGTGAACTTAAGCAGATCATGAGAGGGAGGGCAAGAAGGGTTGCCTCAGTGCTTAGTTCCTGTGACCCTTTTTTACGTGCCCAGGGAAATACTGATTGCCATTTTGGGGTCAGGAAGCAATCCTGGAGGTTTTTTGTCATCTTCTGGTCGTGGAACAGCGGTCACTGCGGGTGTGGAGAGGGAGGTATCTGTGAATTCCTACATTGTGCAGGGGGTTGGACTAGATGACCCTGGAGGTCCCTTCCAACGCTATGATTCTGTGATGCAGCTATCCATATGTTCCTGCACAGCGAATTAAGATTGCAGGGAGATGCCCTCCTGTTATCCCACCAATTAAAGATGCTCCTTTGGTGAGTAAATGAGAGAGGGCCTTTTCTGTGGCAATCGCACAATTATGGAAAAGCCTCTGCCCACCCACCCCCACCCCTGGGAGGTCTGCCCAGATCCCTCATTGTTGATCTTCAGAAGACAGTTGAAGATTGTTCTGTTTAGGCCTGCATTGCGGTCGATAGAGCTTTTACTACTGGCAATTCTATCTGAAGTTTTAAAACTGTGACTTTAATGGGTTTTAAAACTCTTGTTTTTACTGTGTTTTTAACAACGTTTTATTTATATAATAAACTACCTTGAGTTCCGCGAGGGAGAAAGGCAGCGAATAAATGTTTTGAATAATAAATAAAACAGTGGAGTAAGAACATATGTCTGCTATACCTGAAAATCTCCCTCCTCTTTTCCAAATGCAGTTTTGGTGGCTATGCATCAGTGTACGTTATTACAGATGTGCAAAGCACCAAGCCAAGAATCTGAACCTTTCTCACTGGCTCTGAAGGCTGCATCAGTTCTGACAGAAGAGACGGCTGCTTCTTCAGGAAAGAAAAAGGGCTCCCTCTGGAGTAGACTCAGAGCTAATGCTGGATGGGAATAGCAGTGGGAGGACTGAAGAGCGTCTCTTAAGGAAGAAGGCAGGCAATCTCTTCTGCCCTCCCACATCGGTGGTACAAAGCACATAAAGCAGATGTTCTGGGCAAGGCTTTGTCAAAGCAGCATCACATGGGGCCTCCTGAGCCTCCAGCAGCCCGTTCTTTTTTTTTCATGCGTTGCCTCGTGCAGGGCTGGACAGGCAAATGCAGGGGACCCCCCCCCCCTCCCCAAAAAAAGGAAAGCAGATCCTCAAAATATATCAAGCACCACAATGCAAAGAAAGGGATTACAATGACGTGAGGATCTGCATGTCCAGAACATCATGCACATTTTGTGAACAATAAACTGGACTTGCTCGTTAGTCACACATTCAAGGAAATCAAATTAATTTTGGAGAGCAAGCAAATGCGCCAAGATTGAAGGGCACATTGTAACAAGGAATGAAAGTGGCCTGGTTTGGCACACTGAGGGTGGTGAACAAGCCCGCACCGGAGATGCTGCACCAACCTCAGCTTCTGTGCCTACAAAATGGGGAAAACTGTGCAGCACTTTCATGCAGAATCAAAGCAAAAATTAGGGGACATCAACTTACTGCCTGCTTTTGCTCCTCCTCCTAAAATCGCAGATAATGAGAAAATGTAAGAAAGAGAGAGACAGAGAAAGAGAGAAACCAGACAGTTAAATTGCTACATTGAAAGGAAACACACACAAATATCAAGGGAACACTAGTGTTCGATGGCACAGAAGGACACAGGAGAACTAGGGAAAAGAAGGATATAATGAGCTGCCTTCATATTCAGAGTCAGACCATTACTTGCCATCTAGCACAGCCTTCTCTGCTTAAACCAGAACAGATACGTCACATGTCTCACAGTCAGAAAACTCACTCCCAGTCTTGATACCACAGGCCTTCTAACTTTGAAATGCTGTAGATTGAGCCATGATTTGAGAGCAAGATAGACATAGAGGCTTGATTAGAACAGACCCCAATCTCATGATAGGAGACTTTTAAAAATCTGGATGTGCATTCTTTTCAAGGTAGTTTGATTAATTTGACTGGCAACTGTAAGAAAATCAAAGACTATTCCTAGTGAAACAATTGCAGCCTAACCTATCGGGCAGAGTGGTCATGGCAAGGATAGAAGAGGTCAATTATGACCCACACAAGGCCCTTAAGAAAGGCTGAACAGCATGACAGCATCTCCACAGCCTTGGGAGGCAGGGACAAAGCCAGAATAAGGTAGACCATCCTGAAAAAGCTGCAGCTGCCCCTTCTTTGCTTAAAAAAGCCATAGCGACGGAGAAAATACTAGGCGGGACTTTTAGATGCTCTCTGGGCAAGCAAAAGGCAGATAAAAGCTGGCGTCAACTCTCATTCAGGTAGGCAATTCCCACAGCTGACCAGCCAATGACAAGACTAAGCACAGCAATATCGTTCAGGTCTGTGCCATTCCAAATTGGTTCATCCCACAGAACTGGCTCACTCAGAACATTGGCCAAGGGTCACAGATGATTGGCAAAGCCTAGTTTGCTGTGTATGCAGGACATCCTGAGTTCAGTCACAGACATCTGCAGTTAAACAGATCCTGGGTAGCTGGGCTGGGAAATACCTCTTTCTCCATGAGATCTGGACAGCAACTGCCAGTCAAAGAAGGCAGCACTGGACTTAGAGTTATCAATGGTCTGACTCAGTGCAAGGCAGCTCCACAAACAGATACACAATGAATTAGCTTAAAGGTCTCACAATACGATCTATTGCCAGTGGTGGAACTACAGGTGTTGAGGGGGGCAAGGTGGGAACACGTCTCACCTTGAGTAGTTTCATGAGCCCTTCTAGTTGCACCATCAGCTCCCTCCGGCTTTCCTGCAGAGCAGACATCCGCTGTTCCAGTTCATCCTTCCTTTGCCTGTTTTTTAAAAAAAGAAGGAATGACCCATTTGCCATGAGTGCAAAGGCCAAGTGGCTGACCACACATGCAGCAGTCTGCTCCCCACCCCCAATTTCCATGCTCAGTACATAGGATGGCCTACTTTACAGGGTTATTGCAAGGCTGAAGATGACACAGCAGCATTTTCACCACCTTTGGGAAATGGGGGTCCCACAGGACTCCATGTTTTTACCTGCTCACTGCTTTCAGCTATAACCATTACAATTTTTTCAAGCAACGACTTTTGATTTTTTCCCTTCTTACCGCAATAGTCGGAGTTCTGCCAGCAATGTTGGATTCTGCTGGGCTTTTTCCGGTGTGGGCTGGGAGGCCTGCTCATGCTCCAGTCGGAGACGCTGGATTTCTTGCAGTATTTCTCTGAGCAAATAAAAAGGAAGTGAGAAGCGTTATTCCTTCTAGCTTTTCAAACTTTTAGGACCCCCAACAGACCGTGATCTGTTCAGAATACAAATGTCGGTTCGAAGACCTCGAGTGCAGCACATAACCAGAGTCCTGGAGGAGGTCTCCTGTGAGATCTTGAGAGTCTCCTCCCCGAATAGCAGAGGCTGGTTCTTCCTTAACACCCTTTAGAAGCCACCTGTAAGGGGACTGAAGACCCAGCTCATGCCAGACTCTCAGACTCCCATTCCCTAAGACCATCAAGGATTGCGCTGGTTTGGGGGGGGGGTTATGGAGCAGCAGGGAAGACCAAATCCATAGTGTGGGCCATAGCAAATGGGAGAACATAGCAGTGTTCTCTCTAAGCTGAGTTAGTTAGTGTGAGTTAGCTCACAGTTTTTAAGCCTCCGGCTCACACATTTTTGTCTTAGCTCAGGCAGGATGGCTCCAGAGCAAACTAATTTATGCAGTAGCCAAATTGCTCACTCACAACTTTAACGCCAGTAGCTCACAAAGTAGAATTTCTGCTCACAAGACTCCACAGCTTAGAGGGAGCACTGGCGGGTAGCCTTGTTGGTCTGCAGTAGAACAGAAAGATTCGAGTCCAGGAGCATCCCGAAGACCAACACGATTTCCAGGGTAGAAGCTTTCAAGAGTCAACATTTCTATGTCCATACAAATTCTGTATTACTAACCACACTTCTCAGAATAGCTGTTTTAAAAAGGTGTAATATTACAACAATCAGACTAAAACAAAACCTACGATTATTTCTAAATATATTTTTGTTTGTGTGCACGCGTGTATGTTTTGTTGTACTTGCCTGGAAGTCACGGTGACTTCTGGTGACCCCTAGTGGGGGCTTGGATGTTTTTCAGACAGGTGGCTTGATTAGCCTGCCTCTGTGTCCTGCCTCTGATGTTCCTTGGAGGTCACCCTTCCAAGTACTTGCCAGAGTTGTCCCTGCTTAGCTTTCGAGATCTGACAAGATCGGGCTTGCCAGGACTATTTTTTAAATTTTAAAATGATTTTATTATATCTATATCCCACCTTTTCTCCATTATGGAATGTAAGGCAGTACAGATAGAGGTCTCCTGTTAACATGCTGACCAGCCCCTGGCCTGCTTAGCTTCAGCAAGATGGCTGTGTCATGTGCCCCCCGCCCCATCTGTGATACTGGGAACTGGCATTCAATCACCCAAGTATCATTAAACCCAAGTAAACAGCCAGGCTCTTTAACCAGTTTGGTGTAGTGGTTAAGTGCGCAGACTCTAATCTGGGAGAACCGGGTTTGATTCCCCACTCCTCCACTTGCACCTGCTGGATGACCTTGGGCAAGCCATAGTTCTGGCAGAGATGTTCTTGAAAAAGAGCCGTTTCTGTCAGAGCTGTCTCAGCCCCACCTACCTCACAGGGTGTCTGTTGTGGGGAGGGGAAGGGAAAGGAGTTTGTAAGCCACTCTGAGACTCCTTTGCATAGTGAAGGGTGGGGTAGAAATCCAATCTCTTCTTCAACCATCACATAAAAATAGAAAAGGCTGCAACCTGAAGTTGCTAAGAGATATGAGAAAGTGGCTGGACGTGGCCCACAAGCTTAGGGTCTCCCAAAAAAATCTAAGAAGGTATTTTCTTAACCAGTAATACTCAGTGTCACATGTAAGTGTAAGTTCCTGGTATCTTTGCTTTCTGCAAATCTTTTTATATTTCCTGGGATATGTCCACACAAACAAACAGTGGCAGTTATTCCTGCAGGGGTTACCTGAGAGGAGGGCATGCCTCACTTCTCCACTGTTTAGCAGTTCATTTGCTACTACGTCAACCATGTTCAGTGCACTCATGCAAAGTTTTGCCCAAAATTCGTCTTCTTTGGGGGGGAAGCAGTGGTCTTCTCTGTGGTCCAAAGATGGGATCAGCTGCCCCAAAGGAAAGTAACAAAAGCCTCCATCTAAGCAGGAGCTCACTAATTTGAAATGGAGTTAAAGTGTATTCACAAAAGGTTCAATGGAATTAGCCTCTCCCATCACTGTAGTCCATGCTGGAGAAAGCACCGCTCCTGTTGAATTTCTGAACACCATGTAGCTGCTGATGGCATGGCTGGAAAAAAAAAGGAGGGAACTCTTTGTCCAGTTTCCTTTCTCCAAGGAGGAAATAAGGAAGCAGAAGCGAGTTCTCCACTATTCAGACTCATCCAGTAAACTAGCAGTCCACTCAACAGGAGGAAGTAAACTCAGAGAAGACCCTCTTACTCAGACAATGAATCCCCACAGCCAGCACTAGCAACAAGTAAGGCCCGGCAACTACCTGGGGCACAGTGGATTTGAATGGCACATCAAGCCAACCTATCCACCCTCCTTTCAAATCTCCTAGCACTTGGAAAACCAACAGGGAAGAGAAATTAAGAACTGTGGAAGTGACTGAAACATTGGGAGGGGGCAGGTTTTCTCTGCACAGTAGGTGACAAAAACGGGGAATGGGAACTAGCCTGTCACTCACCCACTTGGTCCTCATACCTGTTCTTGTTTTCCAGTTCTGCTATCAGCTGCCTTTGCTGTTTGTTCGCATCGAAGTTGAACCCGAGGTCTGTTGGTGGACGTGGCTAGATACATCAAAAACACAAGACAAGTTAAATATCTAGACACTGTGTTGCTTGTCTGGAACACACACAACCCCTTATCCCAACTGCAGTGGATAGATCAGAATGCCTGGTATATTGTAAAGATGACGACAAATTTAAGTGCAGGATTGGTCAGGGTCTTGTCTTCCTGAGCAGTACTCGAAGTCATGCCAATGGGGAGTCTGTTCCTCAAGCTTCACAGGTAGAAATTTCCCTTCAGGAAGGGGATGCTCCAAGAAATGGAGGTCTGATCCACTGGGAACATTTCTGGTATATAAGCCTCACTGAAATGAACAGGAATAGGGCGAGAACACAGAAGTGATCCTCATCAGCCATAAATGGCGAGGAAAGTAGCAACGGTGGGTTGCTCTCCCAGTTTGGCATCCGTTTACTCTACATTCACCTCTATTAGTCCCAATTCAGGAACTACCACACTTCTCCTTTGCTTTCAGCATTTTAATGGACCTGGTGTTACAGACATCTGAGTAAGCCACTGATTTCCACAGCAACAACTGGAGGCTCCTGTTGTCTTCCACCCTCCTTCCCAAGTGGCCTCATATCGGCTCTACCTAGGGCCTGAAGGCTGCATGGCCTAAGACACATCTCTGCCCTTTTTTAAAACATCCAGACTGACGAAGAGTTCTGGAGAAATGGAAAGATGTACACAATGCATTTACGTTATTTTGACCAGCGTTGGATGGATGGAACGTGCCGTCAAGTCACAGCCGACTTATAGAGACCCCTTGTTTAGAGGTGGTTTGTCATGGCCTGCCTCTGTGTCGTGACCCTGGACTTGGTGGTCTCCTATCCAAATACTATCCAGGGCTGACCCTGCTTAGCTTCCGAGATCTGACAAGATTGGACTAGCCTGGGCCATCCCAGGGCAGGGCAGGCTGGTGTTAATAAAAGGTACTATGTGGCTCCTGTGTTTGGATTCTTCTTTGGACCAACACAGCTACCTAGAACCTATAGCAACATCGGACACTGCTTACCAAAAAGGAGAGCATTCTCTAAGAATTGGGGATGGCACTCACTACTTCATATGAACAACATATATATATGAACATATAAAGCTGCCTTATACCGAATCAGACTTTTGGTCCATCATCATCAGCATTTTCTTGGTGCTGGGGGGGGGCAACAGTGTGAGGGCTTCTAGTGTCCTGGCCCCACTGGTGGGCCTCCTGATGGCACCTGGTATTTACGGTCACTGTATGACAGAGTGTTGGACTGGATGGGTCATTGGCCTGATCCAGCAGTGGCTTCTCTTATGTTCTACTCAGACTAGCAGCATCTCTCCAGCTGTCAGACAGAGGTCATTCACATCACAATTCTTTGCAGACCTCCAGCCTGTTCCCTCTAATAGCAAACATGGTGGCCTCCCATCAGTCACCAAAGACACCCCCCAAAAAAGGCCACCGACAAGGCAGAGGGATGTTTCTGCTTCTAAGGTCCTGCAGTTCCCTCTTGCAAACAGTTTGTCTGGTGCCAGCAGCTGGCATAGTCAGGCACTGGGACAAGGCCCTGAGCTGCTTCAATGTTCCTGGGATGTTCCTCCACTGCTGGCCTTCACAAACAGCCAGGAGGCACCTCTGCATCGTAACCTAGACCAATGTCTATGGGTTGCTTTTTGGAAGGAAGGAGAAAAGGGGGAAGATTATCCCCAGAACGGCATACAGTTTTTACAAATATTCCTCCAGCAAAGATTCCCCCCCAATTTGCTGAATCTCTAAGGGAAATAATCAAATTTGCAGTAGCAGGATGGCTCCAGATTGACATTCAGCTAATTAAGTCTGCCCTTGTGGATGATGAAGTAGAGTCTGTGTGGTGCAATTTGATAGTCTCCCTACAGATACACACCCAGCATAGCTCCTGACTCCCAGAAACATTCCTCTTGAACTGTAATTGCGTGCTCCGAAGTCCTGAGTCCTGCTTACAGGAAATGGAGCAGGATAGAAATCAAATAAACTAAACAAAAGAAGGAAGAACTCTTTTAGCAATCTTCCCAGGGAATCCAGCACATCCTTGATTAGCAAGGATCCCAACAGACAGCTGGTGCCCCCCCCCCAAAAAAAAACATACACTGCAGGATGCTTGAGGGCCCCTTTTTTCTCCTTCTCATCTAGCATGCTTTTTGACTAATACATTTTCTCTGTTCTGCTAAACTCCAGGTTGCTACAGCTGCCGCCGCCATCTCTGGCTTGAGTCAGTTCAAAATCAGCTACATTAGCCAGAGGGGACATCACCGAAGATAAGCTTGTGAAATGCTAAGTTTGCTAGCCAAGTGTGCTAGCCTAGGGATACATGTACAGGATTATTTTGACCAAAAATTTAAATGAGAAGCCCTCAGTCAGGGCGTGATTTCACAAATCAGAACCGCTGGCAGCAGCCTGGGCTTCTTCCAGGACACAGAAAAGAACCAGTGCTTTCCCCAAGCAGCCCGACATAATGTTGGATGGCTCCACCAGCAGCATCAGTGTGGGAGCACAAATGGCCTCCGGTGCAGCTGCCTGGGATGGACTCTTCTTAATGATACTGATTACGCTAACCCAACTGCAGTGCAATTAAGCTGGTGCCACAGAAATACAACCCACATTCAGTTCCTCTCTTTGCCTGCCCTGGTATTGATGAGCTCAGAAAGCTGTGGCAGCTCAGCATTCATTTCAAAAAACAAAGGCAACAAAAAAGGTCAGGGAGAAGAGTAAGAAACCAAAGAGAAGGTCTTGCATACAGAACTTCAGTGTCTAGGACATGACTTTTTGTTTTACTGGCATGTTGTCAAAGTCATTTGCCAGTAAAAACATTTTACTGACAAGGATGCACTCCTCTATGATTGTTTATGCAGAAAAATCACTGCACACGGTCCCTTGCAGAGTAACGTTAGCAAAAAGAGAAGTCCCTGCCACAGTGCAACCTTTGCTTGACATGGTCAGCTCCAATGACTGAAATGTCTCAGCATGTGGAGATGAGAAGACAGAGATCATTTCTGCACAAGTGCAAGCCTTTGCATTGGTGTTCTTAAATAATCAAAGTTGGTAACTAACCATGGGTTAGTGATTTTAAACAGCCTTGGGAATTTAGACCCTCATGGTGATTTTACTTGTATGACACACAATGGTGCCAGTGTCATTGATTATGTCTTGGTCTCACCTGGCCTTCTACTGCTGGTACACGAGTTTAAGGTGGATGAGTACCAAGGAGGGGACCATCTCCCACTAATATTGAGTATATCTAAGCCAGATATGGCACCAGCTACAACTCTGCCTAAGGGTCCTAAAGTTTGAATGTAATAAGACCAAAGAAATGGACTTCATACTCTGCTTCTCTTGCTATTAGTATAATGACCTCCTTACCCAAGAGTTCTTCATGCAGAAGGATACTCAGGACATTTTAAATAAATTAATTAATATTTTAGACCTTTTTAAACCTGTTTACATCAAGACTTCTTCCGATAGTAGTAGCAAAAGTAAAAATAAGTGGTTTGATAGAGAATGTTGTGACCACATTAGACGTATAAGGTATAAATTACAGCAGTTCAGAATTACCAAGCAACAGTACCACTTATCAGAGTTTATCTCTTTAAACTTTATCTTCTCCTTCAGGGAAATGATTACGTGTAAAAAACAGGCAGCCCAACAAAAAGAATGGGAGGCATTAATAACAGCCATTCATAATAAAGACTCACAAGTCTTTTGGAAAATAGTTAACAGGAGCTTATCCACAGCCTCTGTACTTTCTGACTGTATAACCCCCCAAACTTGGGAGAAATATTTTTCCTCCATTTTTAAAGAGACCTTTAATTCCAATTTCCAAACTGTTCAAATTGAACTTCCTTTATCTGACCGTGACTTGTCTGATTGAACGAATGAGCTCAGATAAAGCACCTGGACCAGACTTAATTCTAATTGACTTATTAAAATTAAATCCTGTTTGATGGAGCACTCTTTTGGCTCCTCTTTTCACTCAAGTAAATAAAACAGGAATTATACCACCCTCGTGGAAATGTGCAATAATAGTGCCACTACATAAAAAGGGAATAGAAGTGATCCAGCAAATTATCATCCTATCAGCTTGCTCTCAACTTTAGATAAAATATATGCGGCTTTCCTCCATACTAAATTACAGTCTTGGTTGGAAGACGATGAGGTTCTTTATCCTGAGCAAGCTGGTTTTAGAAAAGGCGCCTCTACCTTGGATCATTGTCTTGTTCTTTACCACTTAGCTGAGAAATATTCATCCAAAGCTGGTAATTGTCTCTATGTGGCATTTATGGACTTAAAAGCTGCCTTTGACTCTGTCCCTAGATCTCACTTATGGTCCAAGTTAGACAAATCTACAATAAATAAAAGACTTTTATGGCTCATTTATAAATTATATGAAGAGCCCTCTACGCAGATACGTTATGGTTTGGAAGGACAGCTTATGAATCCTATCAACCTTGCTAAAGGGGTAAAACAATGCTGCTTACTGGCCCCTACTCTATTCAATCTTTATCTTAATGATATGGTACCTTACATTAAAAAACACACTCATCATGCACCTATTTTGGCAGGCCAAGAAGTTCCTATATTATTATATGCAGATGATGCAGCCTTATTATCCAGATCTGGCCTTCGGAAAACAATTAATGCTTTCTCTGAATATTGCAGACAAGAGGGGCTCACGGTAAACTACAAAAAATCAAAAATTATAGTTTTTACTAAGAAGTTAAACCATAAGTGTAAAGTATGGAGAACTAAAGAATTGACAACACATTTTAAATATCTGGGAGTTGTCTTCACTGAGAATTTATCATGGAAACATCATCTTAATTTAGCCCGAGATACTGTTAGACCGAATGTCAATGCACTTTTGAGATTTTATTACTCGATAGGGTGCCAATATATCCCTATGTTAAAGCATTTAACGCAAAAATAATACCTCAATTCCTATTTGGGGCAGCCATTTGGATCTGTGCAGCCTCTGAATCCTTAGGCAAATTA